TGATGGAGCCACCAGAGACCCGGAGAAGCTGCCTGAACCCCAGTGTCCAGAGCTGGTGGGCCAGGCTTCCTCAAGGGGACCCTGGCAGCCGGGGCATCTCTGTCCCCGCTCTGCAGGTGAGAAAACAGAGGCCCGGGTGTTGGGGCAGCAGCTTCCAGCCTGGTGCTACACTGCCCTGGAAGCGTGCTTCAGAACACTGCAGCACACCTCTGCTTGGGAACACGGACACACGTCAGAGCCCAGTGAGCTGCTGCCCCTGCCTCACCAGTACAGCAGAACGATGGCCACCAGCAGTGCACCAGCAAAACCAAAGGCTGGCGGGTACGGCGGGTAAAGGCTCCAGCCGGCACAACCCCACCAGCGTCGCTGAGCTCCCGGAGTGCTTGTCACTTTCGTTGTAACAGGCAGCTGGCCTGGCATCGCGGGATCCAGGCAGTGGGCCACTCGGACCGTGTCCTCCCTCCTCTCTCTGATGGCTCCAGAGGGATGGGGCTCCTCTTGTGGCCACCGTGCCCTGAGTCCATGCACTGTGCCCCACCCTGGCACCCAGCGAGGCCAGCCGTGCATGCCCGTTGGGGTAGGGGATCCCGAGGCCACAAAGAGGCCCCGGTCACAGCGCCATCTGGTTCAGTGGCTGGGCTGAGGCACCGGGCCCACGTCTGGTGAGTGTCGGGGGAAGCCCGGGACAGCCCTTGAGAAAGACCACCCTGAAGACGGGCTCTCGGGCTTTCTCTCCGGTGCCCGGAGCCCAAGACCTGGTGCGAACGGAGAGCGCCCACTGAAGGCCACTGTCTTCCCCCCACACCGGGCACCAGGGCCCAGGGAAAGGCACCAATGTGGGACTGAGCCCGCCTCTGCCAGGGGCCCTGTCCCCTCCCTGGTCCTTTGGGGGCATGACTAGAGGTTGGCAGGGGACTCTAGGGGGCCACACGTTTCTGGAAGAGAAAGAAATTGCCGCAGCTGGAGAAATGAAGACGCGAAGGGGTAGAGCTGAGCGGGGCAGCTGCCCTGGGGTGGAGGGGCTGGCGGCCGTGGGCGCCCCGGGAAGAGGGAGCCGTCTGGTTCTTTCACGCAACCTAAGCTTCAGGGCCGTTCCCCACGGCCCACGGCCCCACGTGCTCAGCTGCCAGCAGGGCCAGTGCCAGCCACAGGCTCTCCCGAGGCCCTGGCCAGGGGGACCACCTCGTTCCGAAGCCCCTCCGGAGTCCCCACCGTTGCACCGGAGCAGACCGGTCCGGCCTTCCCCGCAGGACAGTGTTTCCAACCCATCCTGCAGCCTGGGCAGATAAGGAGGAGGTCCCCAGAGGGCGGCCTGCCTAGAGGACTGGCAGCGTCCCCGCTAGAGCGAGGGACGACCCCGTGGCCCAGCTGTCCGTGTGGTGAGAAGGCCCGAGTGACCTGGAGAGACGTCTCCCGCCGGCAGGAGCGGGGACGGGAGAATGGGGCGGCGCTTCCCTGTGGGGCGGGGATTCCGTGGGCAGCCAAGCTGGGGTGCAGAGGAGGCGAAGGCCACAAAAGCTTCTAGGGACACTCCTTCAGAGCTAGTCTAATGCCTCCAAGCAGCACAGGAAGCCAAGAACGTCTGATATTTATTTTTCTGGCACCTACTAATGGCGAGTGATGCTGAGTTTTACTCACGGTCAAGACCTGAAGTTTCCTCTTCAAAAACATTCAAGTGAAAAAGCGAAGCAGTGTGAAGAGAACGCTCGGCGCCAGGTGGGATGACACGGAGGCTGCGCTTCAGGCGGGGAGGAGTGGGCGTGTGAAGGGCCACCAGGTGGAGCTGAGGGTGCGAGCGGTCCCTCCCCCTTCCTCAGGGCCAGCGCCAGCTGGACCTCCCAACGGCAAGTCCCCACGGCTCAACGAGAGACCCTGGGAATCAACGTTTTCCTCTGGCGGAATCTGTTTCCTCTGCTCCGCTACGGACCAAAGTCTCCACCTTCCCTTCGGCCCCTCCGTCCCTCACCGCTGACTCTCACGGGAGGCTAACTCCGTGTCCACGGTCCACAACTGGAGGCCCAGCAGGAGGTCGACAGGACAAGCATGTGCAGGGCCTGCAGCCAGACACCACTGGCCATCCTGTTATCCTCAAGACACCCCGTGTCCCAGCATTTGCACTGGAGGGGCTTAACTGACTCCCATGACAATAATGTCCAGTGTTGAGCCTGCCTCAGGTGAGGCTGGATCCAGACGCCTGAAGCAAGGAAGCAGGCCAGGCTTCTTGCCTTCCCCAGAACTGGCCTCATTCTCAGAATGGCTCTTCCCATGAGATGTCTTTAGGGCTGCCAGCCGGACAATCGCCTCCTTCCCATGAGCTTCAGCAAAGGTCTGGAGCTGCCAACCTCTGGGTTCGCTCTGCCGACGGATGAAGAAAGAGCTGCCCAGAGGGATGCAGAGGTGCTGCCAGCAGAGGCTGGAATGGCCGCGGGTAAGGCGGGTGCCGCCCTGGCCTGCGACTCTGGATTTCGGCTGCAGCTCATGTGCTGGTCCTGCTCCATCTGGCTGTCCCCCTGTCCAGGTGGGTTCTCTGTGCACCCCTGTCCAGCAGTGCCCTAGTGTCCTGGACCCTTCCCTCTGGTTCCAGTGGGACTACCCAGGAAGCTGGCTCCAGCCAGAAGTGGGGCGGCTGTTCCAGCCCGCCTCCCAGGGGCCTGTGTTCTCTGCATACAGGAGGAGCGTCTACGCTGACGGTGGGCGGTGCCTCAAAGGTGGCCATCTGGGCAGGGCCTTGGGGAGAGACGTCTCAGAGCTCCTGAAGCAGCCAGAGCACAGACACTGTCACTTTGTTCAGGGGCTGCGTTGGGAGCACTGGGGGTTCCAGCCCCTCAGCAGAGCCAAGTCCTGGGACTGGGCCTCCATAGGACTCAAGAGGGCACCCCTGGACCCCACTGGCTGCTGGAAGGGGCAGCTGCAAAGGTGGCATTGGTGGCAGTGGGGCCACCCCGGGATGAAGGGGACTCCTCGAGGTCTCTGGGGACAGCACCACTTCACTTCCTCTGCTGCACTGGCCCAGGAACTTCAGGGGAAAGTAGGGCTCCTACCCCTCCAATCCTGCTGCGGCCTGAAGGTCCTTGCATGGGGACACCAGGGGCACAGCCCTCCCCTCACCCTGATCCTCTTTGCCCAAAAGTGGCACGATACCACAGATGGAAGACATGCCCAGGGAGGGGACAGTAGAGCCCTCAGCCGCGTGGCTGCCCCCAACCCAAAGGGTGCTGACCAGGAAAATCTCAGCCCTGGTGAGCCCCCAGCCCCTGAACTTCCTTAGGGCACAAAGACACACCTGGGGAGGCCTCTGGCTGGGTCTAACTGGACTTCCACCCGACGGCCCGTGCAGAGCTGAGAACAGCCCCTCCTGTCTACATCTGGCTCCTTATGCCTGGAGTGGGCTGCCAGCCTGGCCACCCAGCCGTCCCCAGGCTGAGATGCCATGGTAGTGGAGGGTCCCCAACCCCCTGTACCATCACCCAGGCCCGCCCCTGCTCCGCCCCTGCCTGTACGCCCATGCTGAGGGGCAGAGGGGCTGCAGGTGCCCCAAGCTTTCACCGGAGGAGCAGGCCGGCCGGAACCCTGGCGAGTTCTGGCCAAGGACATGGGGGTCCCCCTGGCACCACTACTTTCTGCTTCCCTGGGGGAGCTCCTGAGTCCCCTCATGACGGTGGGGCAACAGTCAGAGCTTAGGGTCTGCTCTGCCCAAGCGGAAGGTGGAAGCTGGGGATGGGGACGGGGAGTGCCCCCCCAAGGTCTGTACCCACAACCCTTCCCCACTGGGGCCCGGCAGACCCTGCCCAGGGTCCCAACAAGTTCGAGGGCTTCCAAGGCAGGTGAAGAGCTACGCTGTGGCTGGGAGGGGGCTGTGGCTTCTGACCCTCAGCCTCAGGTAGAGCCCTTGAGATCTCATCGTGACCTCAGGGTGACCAGGAGTTCTTGAAGCTGGGAGGGTGCTCAGTGGGGGTGTGGGGACCAAGGACTCTCAGTCTGTCCTCTTTCTCCCGGGTCAGATGAGCCCCTGAAACTCAGGGTCCCCAGGACAGTTGCCAGAGACCCCTCCTCACCGCCCTGCCAGGGCCCCAAGCCGCCCTCTGCCACAGGTGCGCCCCGGCACTGAGGTGCCCCTGCCTCGTCGCCCCCAGGGCAGGCAGGCCTCGCAGATGCCTCTGGCCTGGAAGGTCGTCCGGAGTCCCAGAGATCTGCGCAGGGGCTGGGTGGAGGGGCGGGGTCTTGGAGTGCGTACCTACCTCTTCCTCTCCCAGGGCTCCGCGTGGGCTTTCGGGGAGCTGTTCCCTTTGCCCAGCCTGACCCGAAGGCAGGAGGAGCAGGCGGAGGGCTGGCCGCCCCGCAGCGGCTCCTTTGTGTGCGAGCGGACAAAGTTTCCACCATCCGCTGCCTGGACTCCGAAGCTTTCCTCCTCGGCGGGCGCTTCTCTCCCTGGAAGAGTAGAAGCCACGGGGGCGAGTTTCCATCCTCGCCCCCTCCCCATCCGTCCAGGCAGACACCCTTGCTTCGCCGGCCCTCACCGCGGGCCCAGGACCGGCAGCGCGGGGAGCGTGACCCCGGGCCCTGCACGCTCCGGGCCGCCGCCCCGCCCCCCCGAGAGGCTCGAGTCCCCGGAGCGGCCAAGGGCGGTGGCGGAGCTGCACGACTCGGGACCGCAGCCCGCCACCGCCGCGAGAAAGCCCCGGAAAAGCCCGCGGGGCGAGGAGCGGCGGGGAGCAGCGCGGCCCCGCCCGCACCCCCAGCCGCCCCCTCGGCGCGAGATCCGCCCGCAGGCCGCGGCCCGGCGAGGGTTAAGCGGGGCGGGGCGTGGGGCGGCCCCGCCTCCGCCGCCGCGCCGGGTCCGAGCGCGCACGGGGCGCGGGGGCGGGTCGGAGCGGGCGGCGGCGGAGGGCGCGGCGTGCCGGGCGAACGCGGGGAGCGGCGGCGGCGCGGCCCGCGTGACCCACCGCCGCGCCCCGTGCGCCCGCGAGCCCGCGCCCCGCCGCGCCCGGCCCAGCCGCAGGATGCGCGCCCCGTCGCTGCTGCTGCTGCTGGCCGCCTGCGCGCCGCCGCCCTGCGCCGCGGCCGCCCCGACGCCGCCGGGCTGGGAGCCGGCCCCCGACGCGCCCTGGTGCCCCTACAAGGTGCTGCCCGAGGGCCCCGAAGCGGGCGGCGAGCGCCTGTGCTTCCGCAGCCCCGCGCGCGGCTTCCGCTGCCAGGCGCCCGGCTGCGTAGCGCACGCCTCGGCCGGCCGCTCTCTGCGCGCCGGCGTCCTGCGCAACCACAGCGTGCTGCTGCAGTGGCGCCTGGCGCCGGCCGAGGCGCGCCGCGTGCGCGCCTTCGCGCTCAACTGCTCTTGGCGCGGCACCTACACGCGCTTCCCGTGCGAGCGCGTGCTGCTCGGGGCTTCCTGCCGCGACTACCTGCTGCCCGACGTGCACGACGGCGTGCGCTACCGCCTGTGCCTGCAGCCGCTGCCGCTGCGCGCCGAGCCCGCCGCCGCGTCGGAGCCCGCCGAGCCCGGGGAGTGCGTGGAGTTCGTCGCCGAGCCGCCCCGCATGCGGGAGATTGTGGTGGCCATGACGGCGGTGGGCGGCTCCATCTGTGTCATGCTCGTGGTCATCTGCCTGCTGGTGGCCTACATCACCGAGAACCTCGTGGGCCCGGCCGTCGGGCGCCCCGGGTTGCGCAGGCATCGCTGAAGGGCCCAAGGGGCACAGCCTGCGCCAGTGCGCCTGAGACTGCAGGCCCTCCGCCCGCCCTTCTCTCATTCCTTGTCCCTCGAGATCCTCACGGAAAGCCTGCCGGAGACGATTAGGATGAGACGGCTGCCTGCGCCCGGACCTTGGCATTGCCACACGCCCTTCCCAGCTGGGCGTCCTCCTTCCAGACTCTGGCTCCGGACTGGCCTTTGGGCCTGGGTTGTAGTGCCAGCCGCATCCAGGGCTCTGCCTGCTCTCCGGAGGCCTTTATAGGGACGGCCAGGACATATGGCCCCTTCCAGCAAGAGCTACAGGCACGCTGGATCGTCACCCTGCACCTGCATCCCGTGCCAAGTTGTCAGAGACAGGCCGTCGTCATTGCTTGGTCACTGTGTGCTTTGGGGTGGGGGGCGACCCTTGGAGCCTGTCTTCCCCCCGCTCCCTCTCCCCGCACCACCCCAGCGGGCTTAGGTTAGCTTCGTGCCTTAGTTATCTCCGGCCCACTGCAAGAGCCAACCACCCGGGCCCCTGCTGTCCAAGGGGGTCTGTGGCCCTGAGACTGGCCAGCATGTTCGTGTGTCTGGCCAGTGTCCCCAGCACTGCAGGGGCGTGTGCCGAGGGTAAGCAGCATCCTGGCCTTTTTCCTGGTGGGGGTCTGGACGGGCTGGAGCCGCGCTGTAGCTCAGCAGGCCCAGCCCCACTTCCTGCTGCCGCATCCGGGGGTGAGTGTCCTTCGACTTGGAGAGGCTGGTGGTTCTCCACGGCCAGACCCTTCTTTCCTTTCGTGTGTGTTGCCTCGGACTAGGACTTTGTGTGGGGAGCGGGAGCAGGTGGCGGGTGGACAGCATCACGTCCTGAGGGCAAAATGTTGGACGCCAGCATCGCCCAGCGGACCTTCCTCGGAGGCCTGGATCCCGCGCCATAACCAACCCAGGAGACCTCGATGGCCACAGGATGACCGACAGCACCACCCCCAGCCTTTCCACATTCAAGGGTCGGGAGCCCAGGATCTGGCCCCGTGAAGCTGCCCCCCCCCACTGTGGACTCAAGGCCGGCTGTGCCCACCTCTAGCAGATCCGGGCCCCTGGCCAGGCTACGCTCTGTGACGACCCCCTGGTGATGTTGGGCGCCAACTGAAATTGACCCTGGCACCTCCTGGTCACTGTGGATACACGCTCTACCCCCACTGCAGGACCACCAGCGACCCCAGGCCCTGGCTGGGCCCCCGCAGCACCCAGACCCGACCTCTCTGAGTCTTCGCTCCTCCTGCCCCTCCCTCCGTGGCGCTGGCCAGGTGCGATCCTGACGCCAGTGTCTAAATGTCCATCATTCTCAAACCAAAGATGCCGCCTTGCGTGTTTATTGGGAAGGTGGAGGGACGGGTGCGGGGTGGGGGGAGGGACAGGTGGACCCCTTCTCCCCAGTTCCCACGGGCCTCTCAAGCATGGCCCAGGGGCTGGCCCCGAGTCCTTTGCCAGCCTGGCTGGGGTTGGCCCAGGCAGGTGCACGGCGCGCTGCCCTTGCCGCTTCCAGCTGCAGGGTGGGCAGGGTGCCCACTGCTCATCCATCCACCCTCAGACCTTGGGAAGTCGTCTTTTCCCGGGCCAGCCGTGCGGGCGGGGGTGGGGGAGGCGGCACCTGCTGCAGTTAGAAATAGCCCAGTCTCATGGGTGACCCACTTGAGCTGTGACAAGCAGCAATTAGGTGGCTCAGGGAGGGGGCTCCCCTCCCCAGCCTGGGGCCTCCCTGTGCAGTGCTGGGGCTGGGGGCTGGGGGCAGTGGACAAAGGACAGCCTGGGGCTCCTGGGTGTGCCCTGTGTGGGCTGCTGCCCTCCCACTCACCCAGGCTGTCCTTGGGGCACCTGCAGCCGGCTGTGACCCTGAGGAAGCAAAAACAGCCGGGGGAGGCGGGAGGGGGAGCCAGGCTCTGAGAAGTGACTCATCTGGGGGAGCGGGGTGCAGTGATGTGTCTAGACAGCGGGCAGGAGTGGGAGGGATTCGGGTCCAGCCACCTCCTGTCCTGGCTCCCTGGGGGCCCAGTCTGCCCGTGAAGGGTGTTCGCTGCCCTCCACCAGCACAGGCAGGAGTGGGAGCCTGGCAGGGCCCCAGCCTCCTCACACAGTCTGGTTCCAGAGCTGAGGACAGTGGCACCTTTTGGGTTAGCTGTGGGGTTCCGTGAGGTCTCCCTGGTTTGTGCCCCGATTCATGCCTCTGTCATGGGCTTGGGCTCACACTGGCCCAAGTCAAGGCCTGTTAGCCAATTCTGAGGGGCTTCTCAGAGGCCTGGAGTCCAGCTTGGGGTTTGCAGAGAGGGTCCCAGGGACAATCCCTGGCCCGGGAGATGACCTGGAGCTGCCGTGCGGGCCAAGGTGTCTGCTTCCAAGCTCACGCCATTCCCACAGACTGGGCTGGGGAACGTCCTCCCAGGGGCGCAGGGACGTCCGGGCCCCTGCCTCCTCCCCAGTTGGTCCACCTGAGAGCTTGGCAGGGAACCTTCAGTCCTCATCCAGAACGTTCCCTCCTGCAGCCCCAGCACCTCCTGGAGCAGCCTCACTGTCCCTGTGTCCTCCCCTCTCCTCTCTCGCCTCCTCCCTCCCTCTCTCTCCTCCTCTTTCTCCCTGGAAACTGGCTCTCGGCCTGTGTGGCCCAGGCTGGGGTGGGTGTGGTGCTGCTCTCCCGGTGGTTTCCCTCTGCCCTGGAGGGGAAGCCCAGAGGGCTCACTGGCAGCTGAAGATACTTAAGCACATACTTTTCCAACACAGAGAAGCGATCTGCTTTGATTGCAAAACACCGTAGGCTGCCCGGGCTGGCGTCGGGGCTCTGCCTGCTAAGAGCTGTGCAGGTGCTCAGTGCCTCAGTTTCTGCATCTGTAAAGTGGAAACAGGAATGGGAACCGACACCCGGCCCAGCCAGATAGAGGCGGATGAACCACCATCCACGCTGCAGCTCGAACTCCCCCCAAGGGCAGCTCCTTGGAGCTGCACCCCCAGCCTGACCCTGTTGCGAACTCTCGGCTTTTTTCTTTTCTTTTTTTTTTAAAAAAAGTCCTCGACACTCCACCCTTAAGTGACAATTGAGACAACTGGGAGAGGAGAAGAGTTGGAGGAGGGGCTCGACAGCTGGAAGTCCAGTCCACTCAGGTTTTGTCCCGGAGGGCTCAGCACCAGTGTCATTGAGAAGACATGTGGCAATGAGGCCCTGTCACCGAAAAGGGGTCGCAGTCGGGAGGGATGATGGTCTTCAAAGTAACCCTTCCCTTGGCCGACAGTCCGGGGAATGTGGGTGCTGGTGCTTCTGCTGGCTACACCGGCAGAAAAGCTGAGGTTGGAGGTTTCGTGGAATCCGGCGAGGAGGGTTGTCAGAGTTGCTCTCCCATTCAGATTCCTTCACGGGGTCCCCTGGGCAGGCGTGACCTCAGCGTTAGTCCCTGGACCAACAGGACAAACAGGCCCGGTGATGAGCCGCCACGATACCCCTGCCATAGGTTTTCTCTGCTCCCACGACGCGGTAACATGGACCCCGCGATAACAGCCCTCCCAGGGAAGCCGTTGGAAGGCCGACTGAAGGGGTGTCCGTCTGTGCCCAGGACCGCGCATTGCTGCAGCCTTCAAACCGGGGTGCTAGTCACTCACCATGTCCACCGCCTGTTTACAGGTGTGCCTCACGTTGGTCTCCGCGGGCTTTTGATTGTACTTGCAAACGTCACAGAACACCAGCTTGTTGGGGTCCTTGCAGAAGGGGCCCCAAAACACGGCAGCAGGCATGAGATGCATGCCACTGTTGGAGCCTTCGGGCAGTAAGTACTAGAGCCACCAAAATTCCACGTACTCGGGCTCACAGCCCAGGCCGTGGGTCTTGCAGCGGAGCCCTCCTCAGCGCCATCGACCCAGATATGCATGGCTGGGGACACACGCACCCGCTCCACGCCTTTGTTTAAGTGGGGACTTGCCGAGGCGGCCACGGTGGAAGGTGTTCTCGGCGGGGCCGGGGGCGGGCGGGCTGTGAGACCACAGCGCAGACAGGGGCGAGGGGGCCGCTGTGGCTGCTCACTCACGAGCCCGCCCGCCCTTCTCCCGTTCTCACCTCTCCGCTTGCCCCTCCCTGTCCGCAGCAGAAGCCCTGCCCACCTGCGCCCCTGGCCCTCAGCGTGTGTCCCCACCTTAGGCAACCGGCTGACCCAGTCACTCTGTGAACCTGGGCTGAACGTAAGGACGGCCTTGCTGAAATGACAGGAGACATCTAACCCGTAATTTTCTAGTAACAGCTAAAGATCAATCCAATGAGCCGGCTCGGCTCTCTCTGCCCGCAGAGGGAACCCTGTGTTCTCAAACACCTGAGAAGAGACAAAGCAAAGGTAACCCTTTCTCTCCACACTCGCCAGTTTATGGCTTTTAGAGTCTGTTTGCACAGCCCGGAGCAGTTCCTGAGAAGCTCCAGACAGCAGCGGGGTAAGCTCCGGGCCTGCCTTTCCTGCCCAAACCAGTCTCGGGCAAAATCCCATGCCCTGCGTAGGCCTGACTGCACCTCAGAGAGAACCGAGTCTCCAGGAACAGAAGAAACAAAAAAGAGGGACACCTGACGTCTGGCTAATTGCTCAACAAGAACGACTGTTTCTCTCTTGGTCCCCAGAAAGCAGCACCTGCCTTCTCTTCTTTGCCACGCCCCTGCTCTGTCTCTCACGTTCTCTGTCCTTCTAAAGGGTAAAATAAACTTTTTTACTTTTATATCTTAATCTCTGTGTGAGAAATCTTTCTCCACCGCGCCGTGAGCACTGCAAGGCTTTCCGCCCCCACGCTGGAGACCCCGCGCCCGCCAGGGAGGCCACCCCCCGCGCTCCACGGCGCCCACGCGGGGGTGGGCCGGGGACACGAGGGGCAAACGGGAAGACGGGCTGTGGGGCTGACGTCCCTCTGGCGGCTTCAGGATGGGGGTCAGGACTGTCACATTCGGTCTTCAGGAACAGCCTGAGGAGCAGCTGGAGACGCCGGCCAGGCCGCTGGAGAGGGGAGGTCTCTGCTCAGCCGCAGTCTAGAGTCCTGGGTCCCTGGCGCCCGTGGCCTCCAGCCTCCACCTTCAGAAGCAAGCCCTGGGCGGGGTGGGCGACCGTACAGCTGAGGGTCCACAGGCCGCCTCCTCTGTCCTTGAAGGCTCTCTCCTGGGCTCCTCCCCATCGGGCTTTGTTTCTCCGTAAGTCTCCCTCCACGAATCTCTTCTGTTTCTAGGTGTGTCGGGGCTCTCTCCAAGGCTTCCGTTTTCCCAGTAAGGTCATTTTAAAATGTTTTCGTTTCTGATGCATGCTGTTCCCTCAGGACTTCTGTAACTTTTCCGACTGCTTTCAGCTTATTGTGAAGTATCTGGGTAAGAAGTTTGTCTGTTTGCTGGCCCACCTCCCCCGCAGGACTGTCACCCACTTGCCATTCTCTTTCATCTCCTACCGGAAATCTCTGGGGGCCCAGTTGCTAGCCTTTCTTTTCTTTTTTTTTTTTGAGACAGAGTCTCACTGTGTTGCCCAGGCTAGAGTGCCGCGGCGTCAGCCTAGCTCACGGCAACCTCAAGTCCTGGGCTCAAGCGATCCTCCTGCCTCAGCCTCCCGAGTAGCTGGGACCACAGGCATGTGCCACCGTGCCTGGCTAATTTTTTCTATATATTTTTAGTTGTCCAGCTAATTTCTTTCTATTAATAGTAGAGACAGGGTCTCGCTCTTGCTCAGGCTGTTCTGGAACTCCTGAGCTCAAACAATCCTCCCGCCTCGGCCTCCCAGAATGCTAGGATTACAAGCGTAAGCCACCATGCCCAGCCACTAGCCTTTCTGTTGCTAACAAAGATGGGTTTCTGACGCTCTTGTCGGGCTGTGTGGGCCAGGATAGCTTCCATACTTCCCAACTCTACTGTTACCTCTGAGTGTGGGCTTTTGTTATCCTTTTTTTTTTGGAAGCAGGGTCTTGCTATGTTGCCCAGGCTGCTCTTGAAATCTTGGCCTCAAACAATCTTCCTGACGTGGGGGGTGCCCCCGTGAAGGGAGGAAAGCCCCCTGAACTCGCCAAGTGGGTTCTTGGCTTCGCACAGGAAAGAATTCCAGTGCGAGCCAACTAGTGACAGGACAGTTTATTGAGACAGTGACAGACAACAGATCCTACGTCACAGACGGAGTAGCCGTCCTTCCCTGAGCAGGAGGGGACCCCCGATGGGGCAATGGTGACGTTTGTAAATGTTCAAACACCCTGTTGGGAAACAGCTGTAGGTGACCAGCTTTGTCTTATGTTTGGGCCATAAAGGTTAATCTAAACTGCTGTCCCAGGA